TATAAAAATTACTACTGTTACTACAGCACTAGGAACATTACTGATATCACATCTTTTTTTTAGGTGTGCCAATATTCTTCAGTCTGCTACTATTTTAGGGATAAACACTTTCAATTGCTCCTTTTACCTTGACTGTTAGCTGTCTCAAGCCCTTTGAATGAAATGGGGACATATATGTTTTAAACACATAAACTATAATATTAATATATAATATTAAATAGAGTAGCAGCATCTAGTTGTCCTAGTCAAATTCGACTTGGCTTGGAAACATGGAGGACCATTGTACTGATTAGGCTACAGCTCTTATCTGAACAAACTTGGTCTTCTATTTCAAGATTATAGTTTTAAAGACTTTATAGATGGGAACTTAACATCACTATTTAATCAAGCTTATAGTAAAATCTATGGAACTAAAATATTCTTAACATTTGCAGTTTGAAACAATATAAGCATATATGATTTTAAACATGCCACATTTCAGTAGAAGTATTTGCAAAAAACTCAGTATGAAAGTACAATATACGCTACACATTCATATCAATATGAAGCAGAATTTTGCTTTTTTTTAAATGAGAAAATGCAATAATTTCTTTAAAGGTTTGATTACTTAGCTACCACAACTACTAACTGAAAAAAACAGAAATGTTTTGATATCCTTGATATTTAGAGCCCAGTGAAAAATACTGGCTAACCAATTTTGTATTGAACTGACTTTACCAAAGAATACAAAGCAAAGGGGCATCCTGAACCCTGAAACATAACATTACTTATTTTGATACTGCAATCATTAACTATTATAGGGATCCATAGTTTCCAAATCAGGAAGATTCAGAACTGACAAGTATGGGAAACATTAATATCTGCTAATAACCGACCTTACAGATAATTCTCTCTGAAGGATTGGGTGATTGATCTCCAAAGCAGCTAGTCTGTAAGATGAAGTATAAAATCAAAAACACATATTATGCTTGTCTACTCAGAAAAAAGCTGAGTTCTATGGGGTTCCAGCTATATTTCCATACACTACTCTGTAATATGATGCAGATCTATAAAGCCTAATAAATCAGCTATAAGTAAAAAATACAGCCTGGCTCTTACATTTATTATTAGATTTATATCCCTCCTTTATTTGCACAACTCAAGGTGGTATATATAACGCTCCTGCCATGATTTAACCATGGCTTATTAAATAAGCCACAATTGACCAGGTACCACAACAATATATTAAGCCATAACCCATGGTTATGCATGCAATACACTAACTCAAAACCAAAGAAATCACACTGTGGCTTAGACACATAAACCAAGCCTAAGACTGTATTTCCATATTCCACACTCCTCAATCTATTTTTACTACTTTCTATCTTCAAATCTGAATACAGTATCAGAAAACTGAACTCATATAGAACAACTTGTATTTTATTCTTTCTTCTTGCATTTGTAGTTAATTGTGAGGCATTGCTACCAGGTAAAAATACAGTAGCCTACTTTTGTTACCGAGCAAGTGATATCACCAATACAAAATGGAGTTCTGTGGCTCAGACCTTGAATTAAGCATTTGTTTAGGGGGTAAAATGAAGTTTTGATCAGAAAATAAGCTGTGAACCAAACCAACCCAGTGGAATATATATGTATCCAGAGCTGCAAAACACTGGAGCAATAAAAGGAAGATCAAACTTGATAGGAATTCCACGGAGATGTAAACTAGGTGCATCAGAAGTAATTACGAAAGCAAACAGAGACACTGAAAATCTCTTCCCAAAGCCTTATTAATAAGTACGCTAAAGAAGTGACAGAAATAGGTTGTCAGGGCTCTCCTAAGTATCTAATTCTGAATCCATCCAATATTCTGGGAGAATGATAAAGGACAAAGAAGATCGCTACCATCGGCCAAGCCCCACATTTCAGCGTCCTTGGTGAAGAATAAGCATAAAGATTACGACCTGCTACCCCACCACCAGAAGGTGAGCAAGACTGATAGGATTAATCATGCTCTCACTATGCCAGCATTATTATTGTGTCTCAACAGCACTTCAAAGCGAGCCCGATCAGCCCAGAGTCCCTCGAAGTCTGGGGGAAGAGCCGAATCACAAAGGGAACCTGATCGACCCGCTGCCCGGCCGCCCGCCCGCTTAAGGACTGGATCCCCCGTGCCAGCCCGGCCGAGGTGGGCAGAGAGAACCAGGCCAGGCCCAGCAGCAGATGGCGGAGGCGGTGCGTGTGTCGGTGCGTCTGCCTACATGGTCCCACCACCGGGCGCAGAGCCACCAGCCTCCCGCGGGCTGAGAAAGTAAAATCCGGCCACTCCCCCACGAGACGGAAAGGAACTGTCCCAGGCTGGCACAGACCTCCACGTCGCGGCCCTTATTCTTGAAGCTCTTGAAGCGGTGGTTCTCCAGGCCGGCGGC